AGGCTGATGATTATAAGAGCTTTCCCAACATTTTCTTCTAGAATTCTTAAGGTTTCATGCGTTAGGTTTAAGTCTGTTATCCACTGTGAGTTGATTTTTGTGAGAGGTGGAGGTGGGAATCCAGTTTAAATCTTCTGTATAAACACACATAACCTAAACATTTGCACTCCCATAGTATGCTGAAATAAAAAAAAAAATCTTCTGCATATGGTTATCCAATTTTCCCAGCACCATTTGTTAAATAGAGATTCTTTTCCCTAATATATATTTTTGTCTGCTTTGTTGAAGATTAGATGACAGTATGAGGATGGTTTTATATCTGGATTTTCAGCCCTATTTTAAAGGTTTGTGTGTTTGTTCTTGTGCCAGTACCATGCTGTTTAGGTTACTATAGCCTAGTAGTAAAGCTTGAAGTCTGGTAGATTGATGCCTTGCAAATTGTTCTTTTTGCTTAATATTGCTTTGGCTCTACAAGGTCTTCCCTGATTCCATATGAAGTATAGAATTATTTTTTCTAGATATGTAAAGAATGGTGATGGTATTTTGATAGCAATTGTATTGATTCTGTAGATCACTTTAGATGGTATGTACATTTTAACAACATTGATTCTACCAATCCATGAGCATGGTAGGGTTTTTCATCTGTTTACATCTTCTGCAATTTCTTTTGTCAATGTTTCATAGTTCTCCCTATATAGGTCTTTCACCTTCTTCATTAAATATATTCCTAAATATTTCATTTTCTTTAATGCTATTGTGAAAGGTATTGAGTGTTTGATTTGATTTTTGGCTTGGCTGTTATGGGCATATATGAATGCCACTGATTTGTGTGAATTTATTTTGTATCGTGAGACTTTACTAAATTCATTTATCAATTCCAGGAGTCTCTTGGTTTAATCCTTGGGATTTTCTAGATATAATATCATATCGTCAACAAAGAGTGAGAATTTGACCTCTTCGGCCCCCATTTGGACACTGTTAACTCCCCTCTCATCTGATTGCTCTGGTAAGGACTTCCAGTAGTATGTTGAATAGAAGTAGAGATAGTGGGCAACCTTATCTGATTTCACTTCTAAGCAGAAGTGCTTTCAATTTTCCCTTGTTCAATATGATGTTGGCTGTGGATTTATCATATATGGCCTTAATAATTTTAAGTAATGTCTCATCTATACCTATTTTGTTAAGAGTTTTTATCATAAAAGTGTGCTGGATTTTGTCAAGTGCTTTTTTTGCCTCTATTGAGAGAATCATGTGGGCTCTATCCCAGAGATGCAAGGTTGGTTCAACATAAGCAAATCTATAAATGCAATTCACCACATAAATAGACACTTTCTTTTTTTTGTTGAGTCTTTTCCTAGCTTTGGTAGTAGAGTGATGTTGGCTTCATAAAATGTATTGGGAAGTGCTCCTTCCTTCTTGATGTTGTAGAATAAGTTCTGCAGGATAGACATGAGTTCTTCTTTGTAAGTTTGGCAGAATTTGGGTGTGAAGCCATCCAGTCTTTGAGGGTTTTTTTTGGGGGGGGGGGAAGGTTTCTTATTACTGCTTCAAGTTCAGTACTTGATATTGGTGTGTTTAGGAATTCTATATCTTCCTGCTTGAGCCTGGAGAGGCTGTGTGTTTCTAAGAATTTTTGCATTCCCTCCACATTTTCAAGTTAATGTGCACAGAGGTTTTTGTAGTATTCAAAGATGATATTTTGTATTTCCGTGGTGTCAGTTGTAATTTCTTCTTTTTCATTTCTAATTGTGCTTATTAGTGTCCTTTCTTTTCTGCTTCTGCTTAATCTAGCAAGAGGCATATCAGTTTTGTTTATCTTTTCAAAGAACCAACTTTTTGTTTTATTGATCTTCTGTATAGTTCTTTTGTTATTGATTTCATTTAGTTCTGCTCTGGTCTTGGTTATTTCTTTTCTTCTGCTGTGACTGCAGAATTGTTGAGATAGAGGAACTACTCTACCTAGAAAGGACATACACCTTTCTAGGCGATCTTAATAGTTATTAAAATATTAATATATTTTATTTATGCATTATACATTTTGTTTATTCTAATCACCACTATTCTTCTTAAATGCAGTGCTAAACCCAAACATTAAACACTAGCAATAGCAACATAGAATCATCAATGACTGACTACAAATATTGGAAAGTGTGAAGAAACTGTTAGCTATTCCTAATATTTATTATCCCTTTTCCCTTCAATAATAAATGTCCTGAATCTTAGTTTGGCACATGGTTATAAAGATAACCATGGCATTTATGAATCCCTCTTGCAGTGAGATTTGTCTATGTTAGTAAATCCTTACCAAGAGGATATAGGTGGGCATGAGGTTTATCGCCTCCAGGCAGTGCTCTTCAAATCAGAGGATATTCTTTTCTCTTCCCATATATTTGTGTCTGGTTGCTGGGTGAAGGGTGGATCTGCAGCCATTACTGGAGCCCAAAGATGAATAGTCCATGTTGTAATCCATAGAGCAACTATTTAAAAAAAAGCTCATGTCTATGATGAACCACTGTACCACACCTGAACCATAATCTGGTTTAAGGCACCATGGTGTATGTGTGTGTGTGCATGTGTGTATGTGTATGTGTGTGATGCATAGTCAAGCCTAATCATAGCTAACACAGAAGGTAAAACATGATTCAGTCTAAATTCTGCTTTTGTGACATGCTCATGGTTTCTGAAAATGTAAATTTTACATGAGGAACTGTTTTCTTTTGTAAATTAATGTATAACTGTATCAGAAAAATGAAACTCTGAGAACATTATCCAAGTTCATCATAGTGCCTACTGTTAGAATATATTTACTTTTCATGTTCTTTTCAATTGTTAAACTATTTGATTATATGTATTCTTTTTTAATGGTACTTTATAAGTCCTATATATTTGTATGTTTCTCCAATTTGTAATAAGTCTTCATGTTCAAGATCTTTCTCTTGTTTTCTTGTGGTAGTATTCCATCTCCATTTTGTAGTCTGTAGGATATCTATCCTAATAATTTAATAGCATATCTTCCACCAGTCCTCAGAATCTCTAGAGATGGTTCAGACATTTTTGTCCTTCTGAATTCTTTTTAATAGTTTTAATACATAAATAAATTTTCTGTTGCTTGGCAACAGAAAAACATAATAGTCATTTCTATCTATCACCTATAAGTATGAGAAAAATTAGATGTTGTTTGTTTAGTGCCTAGAGTAATAAAATTAAAAAATACATACACATAAACCTTATATCTAAGCAATACAGATGGGTATTGGTTTATGACACATATAACAAATGTGTTACACATAAGCATACACATATATATGTATCATATACACATCTATGTATAGGTACATATAAATATACATATTTTTATAGGATAAAAAGATGGCATATGATGGTAAGGACTGATTAGCACATAGAAAGTCAAGAAGGAAGTCTCCTGTAGTTTTCAAAAAGGGAAGTAACCTCCTCTCTCTAACTGCAAGTTTTAATTTTATGGTGAGGTGAAGAAGACATCACATTGAGGTGCTCATGCCATGTATTTGAAGCTGACGACAAAGCAAGTACTGTTTTGTGCTTGTTAGATGACATAGATGATTTTTAAAATGGAATTTAACCAAGTGTAAGTTCTCATGTTGGATTAAAGCAAACTAAGTAGTCCTGTGGTGTAATAGAATGAACAGTGAAGAACATGACATTATTTGGATATGTCCATGCTTGTCTCCTTAATACAGCTTTTTTGAAGGCTTCGAAGCTCAGAGGCATGAAAGAACACAACCATGCCTCATTATCTAAAAGTCGATACAAAATAATACTGAAATATCTGATTTCCAAGAATCTTGGGAGCTATTCTAGGGAGAAATGAGGGGGAAAAAGCATCTATGTGTTGCTACCACCAGCAAGAGAAGATGTGAGAGCTGACCAGCTGATGGATTCCACCAAGAGCTACTGAGACTTATTCATGGGAATGACCACCTCCCAGGAGGACAACCCAGTCTTCTGGTTTCTGTTCTCAAGAGCACCTGTAGGAGTTCAACTGAGTGAGGAAGGGGAGAAGAAGAAATTTATTGGTTAAAAGTCTCCTTTCCCCCTTAAAAAAAATATCAGTTTTTTTCCTAGAATGTATAGTGATTTGGGAGATAAGAGGGGTACTTGTCATTACTCAAAGAACAATTTTCCAATTTGAACTTTTCCAAGTGAATAAATGACCCATATGATCACGGTAGTAAAAGAAATTCAATTCTAAATCTGAGGTTCTATAATGTGAGTGGAAAATAGTTATTCACCCACCTTTGGGATAAGGGAGAATAAGTATAGGATTTTCAGGAAAATCAAGGTGGTAGCAAAGTCCCCAAACTGTGGAACAAGGGATATTGCATAAATATATGTAAAAATACACATACTGTATTTAGTCCTGTTTATTAATTTCCATTTCTTCCACTGTAGTATCTCCTTGTAGGTAGGAACTGTCTTGTCACCCCCATCATATGCCTCCATATTCCCTAATGTAGTTCTATGCACTTAGTAGGAATTAGGGATTGAATGTTGTGTTTTCTAAGTTGTTAAAACTATTTAATTTGGATACCTCATTCACGAATGTTTGCCTACACACTTAGTAGAAAAGGCAGGTACACAGAGTATTCAAAATATCAAAGTATACTGCTGAGATGTATTTATTCCCTGAATTAAGACAAATAAGACTTGTCTAAAAATTGCCATTATTCCATATACACAGTGATTACCCACATGGAGGCCTTTGAAGATTTAAAAAAAAAAAAATATTTAGAGGTCATACAGGTCACTCTGGCGTAGATGGACTTTTGGGTGTCCCAAAAATGGTGCTGCCCCCGTGTTACTGATCCTATGAATATAGTTCTATTCTTGGCACTTTTCTTCTAACTATCAAGCACTGGCAGTAATGTCATTACTTGTGGACACTCGTTGCTATCTCTGGACTGTTTCCTCACCAAATCTTCTCCAGAAGTTATAAATTTTTGCTAAAGGAAAATACAGTTTTACAGAAAACATCTTTTTTCAAGGAACTTATTTATGGCTACTTTGACATCTTTATTCCTCAGGCTGTAGATGAGAGGATTCAGCATGGGCACCACAATAGTGTAAAACACAGAAGACACTTTCCCTTGGTCCATGGAGCTGACGGATGATGGTTGCAGATACATGAACGCTGCAGATCCAAAGAAGACAGTAACAGCCGAGATGTGGGAGCTGCATGTGCTGAAGGCTTTGGACCTACCTTTAGTGGAGCGAATGCGGAGGATGCTGGCAATGATGAAGATGTAGGAAGCAAGGATGGTCAGGCTGGGGAAGAGGATATTAAATGCACTGAAGCACAGAACTACTACTTCATTGATAAAAGTACTAGAACAGGAGAGCTCCAGTAGTGGGAAAAGGTCACAGAAGTAATGGTTGATTATATCAGTCTTACAGAAAAACACTCTTAGCATGCAGACTGTATGAGCTGTGGCACCAACCAAGCCCATGAAATAAACTCCAACTACTATCCAGGAACAGACCTGATAAGACATGACGACATTATAAAGCAGTGGATTACAGATGGCGACATAGCGATCATATGCCATTGCAGCCAGCATATGGCATTCTGATATAACAAAAACAAGGAAGAAGTAGAGCTGAGTCATGCATGCTGGGTAGGAGATGATATTCCTCTCTGACAAAAAATTTATCAGCATTTTGGGCGTAACAACAGAAGAATGGCAGAGGTCAATGAAGGACAGACTGCTGAGGAAATAGTACATGGGGGTGTGCAAGTGAGAACTGAGCCAAATAAGTGTGATCATGCCCAGGTTTCCCACTACTGTGGCCATGTAGATTCCCAGGAAGAGGAGGAAGAGGGGCAGCTGGAGTTCTGGCTTCTTTGTTAGCCCAGCCAGGATGAACTCAGTCACTGAGGAATGGTTTCCTGCCGCCATTCTTGTCTGCAATTTCATGAGGAAAGAAGAAGAAAACTTGAGTTAGGTGTTTATTGTCTCACTACACAAAGTAGAAAACAAAATTCAAGTCTTTTCAACCAGGTATCCCAGTTCTTTACCTGTTCTTCATCTATGTTATCAAAGACCCTGAAATCCCAGAAATATGGGAAATGTAAATAAATAACAGATAGAAGTATCTTTATTTGTGCTTTATGCTATAAGAGTGGGCAGTACTACTCCCTAGTTCCTGTACACTTAGAGACTGCTCTGATGACTTTAATTGAATGTCTAAGAACTTCCAATGCCTTACTTGTAATCCTCTCAGCTCTTCCGCAGAGTAAATGATAGTATATCTATTTTACATATTAGGTGACTAAGCCTTATAGTAGTTGAGTATCAGCTCATAGGTAGGCATGTATTAAGTAATTAAGGATATGAGACAAGGGCTGTCTGTCTCACCTTACATCCCTTATTTTAGCTATTCACAGCTTCCTTCCTATCTTTATCTCTTTGTCATATCAGAGAAACCATTCACAGCAATGAACATGAAAGAAAACTTCTCATAAAGTACTGACAGTAGTGTATCAACCACTGATCCAGGCTAGACTTCCCTTTAGTGAGTACCTTGACTACTTCCACTGCTTCAGAACTATAGACATAGTAGCTCTAGAAAGTAACTGAATGGATAACATTGTCTGTCACTCAACTTGAATTCCACATCTAGGAAGGATGTGAGTTTCCTATTGAGGAGAAATCAGAAGTGAGAAACAAAAATCCCAAATTTAGTGTTAAGTAAGCAGAATTTTAGGGGTGAAAACAACTCTTTTGTGGCTTTCAAATCTCAAAACAAGTGTAGATTCAGTAATTTTTAGCTATTGCATCTTCAAATGTATGTTTCAAATAGTGGTAATGAAGTACAGTAGATGAATAGTCAGAATGAAATTAATTAGTAAGTGCATTTCATTTCAAATGATACAATGCAAGTACAATATAATATACAAATATTTAAAGAAACACTAATGATTAAGTATTTTTATCATTTTGGATCTTGTTGTAAACTTGAATTTTGCCTTGTATATTAAACATCTAGTATATAAAACCATTGAGCTATTATTTCATACAAAGAAAGTTTTAGCAATTTAAGTGACTCAAAACCCATTATTTACAATGTAATGTTACTAATATTTTAAATATCTCAGAATTACATGTGTTTTTATAAAAGATTTTTTAAAATATATAATAGCTTAGAAATACAAAGTTGTGAACTCAAGGATGAAATAAGCTTAAAAATTAAGAAAAATATCTGCCTTAAAGATATGACTAAAGCATAGTTTATAGTAATGTGTACACAGTGTGCACAGTAGTTACACTAAATTCCTATTATAGTGTATCATAAATTAGTTCCTTCCAAATTTTAACATGATTCTTAGCTACCTTTAGGATAATAATATAACTTGTGTGTCTGTAGTGCAGGTAATAACTTGACCGCCACATTTTTAAAATACTGAAATAAAATGGCTCAAGTATCATACTGCATATTAGCAGAATTTTGTTCTTATATTTTCTCTCTAGCTGGGCCATCATTCTTGAAGCTGTTTTGGGGCAAGGGTGTTTGTCTCACATCTTCTCTTTAGCCAGTTCACTGAAGCCTGCTTTTCTGCTGCCATTTGGCCCCATTTTTCAATGATAGTTCCATGTTGCATCTTTCTCATCTTTGCTACCCACTAAGTGCTGGAACTGATATAACACTCTGTGCTTTTATTATTTTATATATTAAAGCACCATTAACACATGACTGTTGGCTATAATATATTTTTACTAAAAGCTTGGAGTTTATACCAAGCCTTATTATTAAAGTGGTTATACATATATATGTGTGTATATAGAGAGAGAGACAGACAGACAGAGAAAGAAGTGTCACTTTAAATTGAAGGTTATAAGATCATAAGGTATGGGGAATTTCATTCTAACACTATTCTTTCACCACTCTGGATCTGTCTGCCATGTTTTTGTATCCATCTAGAAAAAGAGTTGTAAATTGCCGGGTATAAGCAGATGTAGTCCAGTAGGTGTATTTTGTTATGGGAATACAGTTTTTCAGAAATAAATTCGAATTTAGAGTCTTTCACAGGACATGAATTTTCCAAATCACAGCACTACTTTTTTTAACCCTTTATATATTTCTGTACCTGGTTGACCCATGAAGGTATTTGAGTTTGTGATGCTTCTCTAAATCCTTTTATCAAATCCCTTGTTTAAGGAAAAAACAAAACAACAATACAAAAAACTTCTTCCCTGAGGAGGAAAAAATGATAACTTCAAAATTCCATTTTAACTTTAATTTTGGAAAGATTTCTCAAAGGTCAGCTTAATGTGAGAAAATAGGTTAAAGGTAATATGAAAAGTGTGTGCACAGTTAATGCACACGTAATATGAAAAGTGTAATCATTATTAATGGTGAAAGACGGAATGGTTCCTCCCACCAAGATAATGAATAAGACATGAGGTACACTCCCTAAACTTTTATTCAAGATTATACTGGAAGTCCTAGCTAGGACAATCAGGCAAGAAGATGAAAATAAAAGGCATCGAGATTGGAAAGGAAGCAGTAAAGGTGTATTTGTGAATGACATGACCCTGTATATCGAAAATCCTAAGGAATCTACCACACACACATACATACATACACACACACACACACACACACACACATACACACAAAGCTATTAGAACTAATTTAAAAAATCAGAAACCTTGTAGAATACAAAACAATATAAAAGTTCAATTGTATTTCTATACACTTGCAATGAAAAAACTTTTTAAAAATCCATTTGCAATAGCATCATAATGAATAAAATACTTAGGAATAAATTAAATAAAAGAAATACAAGACATTATAATGAAAAGTACAAAACATTGTTGAAAGAATTTAAAGAAGACCTACATAAATGGATACTTATTGCATGTTCAAAAATCAGGAGACTCAATATTATGGCAATAACTTCCCAAATTGATATATAAATTCAGTGCATTCTCTGTCAAAGTCTGCGCTCTGTATTTTGCAGATAATGACATGCTGATCATAGAATTCTTACTTATGAAAATGCAAGGGACCCACAATAACCAAAATAAACTTGATAGAGAAGAATAAAGTTGGAGGTCTCACATTTTGCCATTTGGAAACTTACTCTAAAGTTACATTAACCAAGACAGTGATACTGTCATCAGTTGTAGACACACAGATCAATGGAATAGAATTGACAATCCAGAAACAAACTCATACATCTATGATAAATTGATTATTGACAAGGTTTTTATGCCAATTTAGTGGGGAAAGAATAATTTCTTCAACAAATGATGCTGGGACAATTGAATAGCTACATGGAAAAGAATTAATTTGGACCTCTTCCCGACACCATTCAAAACAATTAACTCAAAATACATCATAGCCCTCCTGCTCCCAGAGAAGGAGACATAGATCTTGGTCTCCTTCACGTGAGTGGATCTCCCCACTACAAGGACAGCATCGAGAATCCACAGAGGTGCAGTGTGGGACTCTCTCAAAAAAGGAAAAACAAGGTGATCAGAAGATAAGATCGTGTTCTCTGGAGAGTGCAAAACAAACACCCACCCATCAGCGGAACCTTCCAAGTGTGGTGGAAGAGCTTCCCCAAGTGGCTGAGCAAGAAACTCCAGAAGAGAGGATGCCTGAGCACCATCAATTGATCCAGATGGGGAGGGCCCAGCATAAAATTTCTGGAAATTCAAAAAATCAAACCGAAAACACTTCCCCTAGGAGATACACCGGCTCTCAAGAAATGGAGACTGAACAAACCCAAAACACTAAAATGACAGAAGAAGAATTCCAAAATTGGATTGTAAGAAAGCTCAATGATATGCAAGAAAAAATGGACAACCAACACAAGGAAACTACAAAGAAAATACAGGAATTGGAGTAAAGATTCACTAAGGAAATCGAGATCTTGAAGAAGAATCAATCTGATATCCTGGAAATGAAGAATCTATTCAGTGAAATACAAAACACAGTGGAAAGCCTAAAAAATAGGGTGGCCCAAACAGAAGAAATAATCTCAGAGATTGAAGACAACACCTTCAAATCAAATAAGTTAATCATAGAGTTAGAGCAGAAAAATAAGAGACACAAGCAAAGCTTACAAGAATTGAGGGATTGTACAAAGAAAAATAATCTGGGCGTCCACTGGATTCCAGAGAAGGAGGAAGAAAAAAACCCAAGGATTGGATAAGCTATTTGAAGAAATAATTGAGGAAAATTTCTCAGGCCTAACCAGTAACTTAGAGTTAGAAATACAAGAGGTCGGAGCTGGAAAAAATGGCTGAGTAAAGGTAACCCCCCGGACTCCTGCTCCCAGAGAAGGAAACACAGATTTTGGTCTCCTTCATGCGAGTGGATCTCCCCACTACAAGGACAGCATCAAGAATCTGCAGAGGTTCAGCAGGGGACTCTCATAAAAGGAAAAACAAGGTGATTGGGAGATAAGATCGAGTTCTCTGGAGAGTGCAAAGCAAACAATAGGGCGCGTGGGAGGGCGCCAGCCCGCTGGGCCAGGGGGTGAAGTGGGATCAGACCCACAGGAGAACTCCTTGCTTCCCCATTGACCTCTACACCCACCCAGCCAGAGATCTGTCTGAAACTGGTGCGAAATTACGGCAGGAGAAGAGGGTGCTGGAGACTACGGTTAATGGTGGAAAACAACGTGACCTCCCCTAAGCCCTGTGCTAGGACGGCTCCAAGATTGGAGGAAACTGAACTGAGCTGATAGGGGAGGCAGTTAGATGTCTTGCCTCTGGTAACCAGCAGGACTAAGTCGGAGGCTTTAAGCTGGAACTTCCCCGAGCAAATAAGACTGCACAGGGCAGGTCAGTAAGAGCGAGGGCTGTGGCTGAACAGGCGATCGGGCAAGTGGCATGGAGGAGGCTACGGGGTGTACTATTGACCCAGTCTCCCAACCCGGCACCTA